TGCTCTGAAAGTATTGAAGATATACTTAAAAAACAGTACTGTGTATTTATTTAATTCTCAGTCATAATCACCATTACATACAAATGATTCATTTTTCAGGAGAAAGTTCTAAGGAGATTAGATGTAAGCTGCCGGTGTTCTCAAATCAGTGGACTCATACCCCTGTTGCTTTTTGGAAAACTGAAAGCAAGTCTTCCAAAAAGTATCAAAAGCAAAGTGTGGACACACTAAATACTGAAAAATTTGAGATTATTATAAGTTGTTTAAGTGTGCAAAGTATGCATTTCCTGACAATGAAAACTGCATTTAATGGCTGCTTTGTTTGGAAATTAAATATATGTATATTGTCCATTGTGTAGTTCATCACAATAATAATGAAAACATAGTCATATTGCTCCTCCCTAGCACTTAGCACATTAGCCTTCCCTTCCTGGCAAGGGCCACGACTTAAAGCATACCATTAAGCAGCACACACACTTGAAACTTGAAGAAATTCAGTAAAGATGCCAAAACTATAGAGATTCATTGTGCTGTTTAGAGTAAATGCTTCCGCAACACTTTTTGAGTTTCTGCCCCAGACTTTATACATGGCCTTTATTACGCTACACTGAATAATTCAAACAGCTTGAAATTGTTCAACTAAAACACTCAAACAGTAGTCAAACTGATTGTTTTGTTTATTGAAAAGAGGAAACAAACAAAACACCTTTAAAATAAAGCCCTGAGTCTTTTGGAAATGCTGCAAGGCTTGTAGCTCACTTTAACTTTTCACTTTGAAGGAAGTCTTAAATTGAATAAAATGGCAATGCTCTCGTATCCTGCGTCCTCTCTGGCTCTGATACAGAGGAGGGAAAAGGGATGACAGGTATTTGAGGTATTTGAGGGAGCGCAGAGCCGTCAGCGGCCGTCGCTGTAAATCTGGGTTGTTTTTCCCCGCCGTGGCAGTAACCTCTATCATGCCATAAATACAGAGTTCAAGGCCTGCGTCTGCCTCTCCTGCCTGACTGAGTTTGAGTCACATTGCTACAAGCTGAGCCCATTCACCTCTCCTCTGCTCCGCATTACACAACACCCACTCAGAAAGACAACTGAATACAGGGTTTCAAAACATCATTCATTTCATCACACAATCATCATCATATAAACATCATGCAATTTCAGTCTTTGAAAACATTTAAAAGGTTAAGATCCAAGAAGTTTGTTTATGTAGGCTACAGAGTCCAGGCCATTCATCGTTCTTATGTAGACCTACCTAACTAACTGAAATGACATGAATTTCACTCTTTCCAACAATTTCAGAATCAACAAGGGGTCACTGACATAGTTATGATTTCACAAAACGTAGGACGTTTATCATTCATTTTTTTCAGACTCACCAAGCAAACTTCACTCTTTCATACTAGTTCAGAAAAATCTCGGAATCTTTGAACACATTTAAGGTTCACAGGAACATACTCAGTGCAATTATATGAACACCAGAGGCGAACCCTCAGGGCTTTCTAGACCTTCAAACACATTTAAATGGTGAAGATTCCACAAACATGGTGCATTTAACATTCCTTGCTTTTTAGCTTTGCCAAGCTAATCAAAATCATAAACTTTACTCTTTGATATAGTTTCATTATGAACATGGGATCTTTGAAAACATTTCAAAGTTTGTGGTTCCACAAAATATTTAGCAGGGTGTAAATCTCTGACCTCATATTATTTTTAAAGGATTTTTTTCTGGAAGAAATTCAGTGAATCCAGAGCCTCAGATCTCACCCTGGAACCCTCAGGGCCTTCTAGGCTGTAATTGTTATTCAACATCATCGGTATGCATGTTGTATTTAAACTCTACAAGGATTGCAGTACTACTCTAATTTCATTGTTAAGTTGAGGTTGGAAAGAAAAGGGTTACATACTTGAAATGCCCAAAAAAGGATCAAGCCAAGTGAACTCCCACATTAGCTAGGCCTTCAGGATCTGAACTGAAGGCCAAACATGTCAGATTTACCACTAACACAATTAGGAACCAATGGAGGAATTGACCAATCATGTGTTTTTCATTTTCAAAGGATGGGACAAGTTTGGTGATGTACCTGCTCAAACACACCTGATTACAGTTATCTGTTATTTACCAGGCTTAGTGAATTGTCTGAGTAGGGAAACCTCCAGGCTGTGCTGGACACTGGCCCTCCAGGACTGGAGATGTACACCCCTGCCCTAGGCTTTCTGGAAGTAGAAATTAACCTTATTGGTTTGACATTTATGGCCTGAACTGAAGACCAAGACCTAATAATCATGGTTCCCCACTGAATCTCACCAAGATTCAGTTAATTTTGAATTCAGTTATTTTAGTATTATTATTCTTAAAAATGCAAGGAATGCACAAATATAAGGTATTATTTATATATTATAAAATGTAGACAAAGCTCCATCCGATTTTGTGCAATCATATGTTTAAAAAACCTTGCTGAATGTTATTATAATGGATCATAATCGATTCTAACATTCTAAAATCAATGCAGTTAATTTGTCACCATAATATCAATGTATCCTGATGAATTGGTGCATTCTTACACCTCTATTATTAAAGCTACAGACTTTGGTGCACTTATCCTATTTTACTTTTGTAGCCCTGCCAAGCTAATCGAAATGACATAAACTACAAACAAGAAGAGTGAATAAATTGTAGAAGCATAATTAATAATATTCTGCCAGTGAACTTCTTTTGGCCTCTTCCCACGCTCACTTTGCCCTATTGCCAAGTGAAGTTTCCGTGCCAGGTGCCATTAGGTCATTGAATGTGTTATTACTTCTAAAGCAGTACCTTGAGAAAAAGTAGATCTCGGCAGCGGCCCCTATCACTCGGCAGCACCCCCCTCGCGCTAATGCGCAGGCTGATTATGCCGAGCTGCTGGCGGATTGCCCTGTTTAGGGCTCCATCTCTGCTTCATTATTCATGAAGCTGATGGTGCTATCTCTCCAACCCGCCCCACGCTTATCAGCCCAAACAGGACGTGGAGGACCCGGGTTTGTGTGGGCGATTTTGCATTCTTAAATCAAACCTGTGCAATCGTCAGGACCCCAGGGTCCAGCTTCCTCTATTGCCAAAAGTGTATGGAGGTTAAAGTACTTAAGCAGTTGAAACAGCGCCCCAGGATTATCTCTGAGTTTACTAACAGAGAGCATGCTAAGGCCTATGTTGTTGCACCTCTTGCCTGTCAGTTGCACTGATTCCTGATTGGCCCTCTAAGAGTAAATGTCACAGGAGCTAACCTGAGGTACAGTACATGTGGGTCATTGTAATGACATTCTTTCTCCTGTTTGGCATGTTTTTTGCTCTAGCTGAACATGAATTGCTGCAGAGTGATGTCAGGTTATCAAGCTAGGTTTGTTTTCCGTGTGGTTGAAGAAATGAGAAGTGTGTGTGAAATGCTGTGATAATATAGTGGTCTCAGTGGTAGTAGAGGCGCAGATCATACTGCCATATTAACACATCATCATCATCATCATCATCATCATCATCATCATGATAGGGTCACGGTAGCAGTTGGGAGAGCAGAGAATCCCAGACGACCCTGTATAGGCGGTGGGAGATGGCAAATTAACACCTCAGTGCTGGCTATTTCTGCCTTTTAATCTGCTGTTGTCCTTTAATAATGTGTTTTAATAAATGTGTCCTTTTAGCATATATATATATATATATGCTTTTATATAAAGAATATGATCTAACAAGGCTGGAAATTTGAAATGTGTGAACAAATATATGAATAGCAATATACTTAACACAATATGTGTTATTTTGTGTTTTCTTAGTGATCTTTACTCTGTTCAAAATGTGTACAGACTCAGAAACTAGATCAGTGCATCTAACAATAAATGGTATTGTGTTCCTTTTATATAGTGAAGGAAAACCCAGTAGCACACAGAAATCTACAATTCCACAAGCTAACGTTAGAAGGAACAATGCCAACATCTCTGAAAGTAGGGAGAGCAGGACACAACTTGGGTTTTGTTCAATCATATCAAGTTTTGGTGCAAGATTAATCATTTTTATGCAAGGGACCTACACATCTCTACTACAAATGAAAAAAAACAAAAAAAAAAAACTTGGAGCTGGAAGCAGAGCGAGTGCATGTGTTACAACTTACCCTATAAGCAGAGTTAATTGTTGCCTGAGGGGCTAGTTACTAAAAAAGACCAAGTTTCCCAAAAGCATCTTAGTGTTAAAATCATCTTAACTGGTAGAGAAAGTGTTCAGTGTGATGCTTGCTTTACCATTTAAGAATCTTTGTGCTAAGATGCTTTTGGGAATCCCGGCCAAGTGTGGTAAATCAATGCAAACACAAGTAATTCAGTTCAATTATGTTTTTTATATGTAAACTTTTCAACCTAAATACGTAAAAACATAAATTTTGTCAAACGTGGCAAGTTTTGTCTATATCATATACATGAAAATGAACTGTTTTGAATTCATAAAGAGAAAATAGACTCTCTTTGTTTATTTAGGGAGGCTTAGTTGTAATACTGCATTTAAACTTGCCCCACCATGTGAAAGCTGTACTTTAGCATGTCTTGCTGGTCACATGCTTTGACATGGTGCTATATTACAGCCACCAAGAAAGCAATTAAAATAGTATAATAAAATATTGCATAATAACATAATGAAGTTGTGGATTTTGTGACTTTTACACAGAGGTCAATAATTGAAAAACACCTGTAATGAAAAAAAGGGATTTTTATGGTATAAAATCAGGGGTAAATCTTGAGTAATATCTGTTGGGATTTGCAGATGTAGTTGCTACGGCAAAACAAGGCGTTGACCAAAAGCATGTTCTACTTGGACATGTTTAAATACATCAAATATCTATGTTACACAGAAGGTTGTGTAGCAGAAACAATCATAGCTCTAGTGTATTAGTATTTCTTGCTTGCCCCCCTGAGATTGCTGACTGTGACTGGAATGGGTTTAGATGGAGCTGAATTGGCATTCTGTGTTGTTTTTATTTTTGCAGGTCTGGCAGTACATCAGATCATCACTATCACTGTTTCCCTCATAATGGTCATCGCAGCCTTGATAACAACACTAGTCCTTAAAAACTGGTAGGAAAGATTCTTTTCTAGCATAAGTGTGATGTTTGTGTCAATGATGTAACTCCCAGTCTCTGTCCTTCAGTCTGTCTCTCTCTCTGCCTCAGTCTGTCTCTCTGTCTATCCCTATATAGAAGCCAAAGAATTAGCCATTAAAGTGGCTTTGCCTATGTACACATTCTTAGCTGCCCTGTAAATGTACCAGTCTGTCTACAGACCCTTAGCGTTTCTGTGTCTGCTGCCCCTTTATGTGTTAAGTGTAAGACAGACACAGGGGTTCAAGGTATGATTTTATGTTGGCTTTGTGAATTTGGTGCGTGTTTTTGTAGCTGTGCACAGTCGGGGAATGGCCGCCACACTAGCCACCAGAGGAAGATCAACCAGCAGGAAGAGAGCTGTCAGAACCTGACCGATTTCACGCCGGCCCGCGTGCCCAGCAAGGTGGACATCTTCACCGCCTACAACGACAGTTTACAGTGTTCTCACGAGTGTGTGCGCACCGCTGTGCCAGTCTACACGGATGAGATGATCCAACACACACCCATTTACAAGACCACGTATAACGGGAATAGGTAAGAAAGCACACTCAGTTCAAATTTCAACGTTTATATGCTTTTGGCAATAATTGTGTTGACTTAGTATATTTTATTAAAGTGGAAATAATGTACACATTTGAATGAAGTAAACTCAACATCACATTTTTTCAGTGTCTTTACAGTCTTTTCAGTGTTTTTTCCATTGCATACAAGCATCGCCATAACTAGCTATGAGTACATCGAGGTCTGGACCTTGTAGAAACTCTGTAGTTTCAGAGGTATTTTTTTTTCTGTTCATGAGGTTAAGCGTAGAAACAGTGCCATTATGATAATACAGTACATAGCAGCCACGGTGTCACAGACCTAACCCGAATATTTATAAAGCATAATTTTTGAATATGAAATTTGATATGTTTTCTGTGAGTGCTGTCACTGTCTTCTGGCCAATCAAAATCTGCTGAGCTCTGCCTTATTTTCCTCACCTTTCCAATAACTGCTTAGCAAACATCGCTATCCGCACCTGTCATATTCATAACTAGCATTAGACAAGTTCGGAAGGGTTTATGAGATTCAATGTGGAAAAAAGTGACATAACTACCCAATGAGCAGTGACTGGTTCTCAGCTGACCTCAGAACAGCTGTGGCTCGGCCATACATGTAACTGCCCACACTATTTGTCTCTGTTTGAGATGCTACGCTGCTCAGAGAACTACAGTAAAGTTAACTTTGACTTCTTGAGATGCTCAGATATGCAGCACACAGATATGCAGTATGTTAGCTTGAGAGAATAATACAGTAATATTTGCCATCTGTAATGTAAAGAATTCCTAATTATTTTAGGTGTACATATTTATTTCTGAAACTTTTTTTAAGCTGCTTATCATTTTTACATGTTAATGAAACCAGCATTAAACCTAATACTTGACCTCTTTAACTTGTTCAATAGATTGTCCATCTGTACTCATATTTAGGTGACTGAAATCATCTGCTGTCTCCTAGATAAAAAGCACATTGACACCATTTTTTTAAGGTTAATTGTCAGTCAATCGTCAACTGTGCTACTGATTTTAGTCGTTCTGTCGGCTGCACAGAATCTGAGGGGTGAGCTCTACCAGACACATATATGATGGTGTCATTTGCATACATCATCATTCATGCATAGGCTGTAAAGCGGAGCTGTTTCCTAAGCAGTGTCTCTGCTTGCCTCAACACATTTGCAAAACCCTACACACTGCATCACAACAAAATACTGGTTCCAACACTGTGTACAGCCCCATCATTCTTAAGATGAAACATTCACTTCAAAGTGGCATTCACATTCACATTCACCCTGTGAATTGCTGTAACAAACCATATTTTTCACACTGCCCTGGCAAATTGAGAGTGCAGTTGCCAGAATGAGAATGTGGTATTTTTCTTCCTGTGGTGAACACAGACTACCGTATGAATAAGATATCAATCACAGGTACCTGAACTCATTTTTCTCATCTGGTCGTGACAAGAACAAAGCAGGATACAGCAGTTTATGTTTAATTTAAAAGAACATCTGTTAAAGAGCAAAAGCTGTAAGACTGTCCATATACATTACAGAGTTAAATAAGCATGATACAGTACCAGTAAAAGCGTCTACAAACGGAATGTTTATAGATAAGGAATTTGACTTTAATATGTCTGATTACTAATATTACAGGAGCACTCCTCCAAAACAGCAAAATTCAATGTGATTACAATTATTGAGCAAACAATTTAATGCATCAAAAAATTTCATAATAAAATTTCATCAAAATTTGATTAAAGTCAATTATTTTGCTAAGAATCACGAATATTTTTATACATTTGCCTCTGACATATGCTGAGCTCCAAGTCAGTTGTCACAACATACTGCTCTGTCATTTCAACAAAAAAGTGCTATAACCACCCAATATTAGAAAACAATGATGTCACCTGACATATAGCACTGTACAAAAGTCAGAGACCACCTTTAATTTTTTTTTTCAATTTCCAATCAAAATGGCCATTAAAAACAAGTTATTTATTTTTCAGTGTCAGAAAGAAAAGCAGAAAACATATTTAACAGAAAATAACTGAAATCTCAGCAACTAAATATAATTTACATTTTTTCCAGTATATAGTGTGTTCACTCTTTTTTCTTGTGTACTTCCATTACTCAGTAAGGGCTTCTAGTTTTGAGTTGTCTTTTCACAGTGGAAGGATGGACAGAAACACCTGTGGTTTTTTCAGATCTCTCAAAGACGAAAGGTGTTATTTTATATTAATATTTATGTTTAAATGCTTACTTTTTAAAACACCAAAAACGGTTGTGCTATTGTTATGATGTCAAGCTTGGAACAATAGAAGAACTCTTTTTGGTGCTATATAGGACTATGTACAACACAGTCCTTATCAGTCTGAACTATTTCACCATGCAAAGAACCATTTTAGCATGAAATAGTTCTATATAGAACTCATGGTTCAAAGCAGAACCATTGCCTTTACTAAAGAACCTTTGAAGAACCATTTATTTTAGGTGTGTAGAGTTAGTTGAATAATTAAATCCACAGGGCCACAATTATACACTGAAGTTAAATTGTCTAATTTACTTTCATTTTATTAATAGCCTGAAACGCTGATGACTTAATTTTTTTTTTTTTTTATTTTATTCTTAATTTATTCTTATTTCATTCTATATGTACCTGTTTGAAAAATGTACTGTACAAGACCATCTATGCAGAGGACAGTGGTGAGGCCAGCTTGTTAGCTTTAGATGTAGTGAATTTGACAGCCGTGTGTTCAGTTAAATGTGCTGAGATTGTCAATCCTTTTGCTGGATTTGACAGGTTATACCTTCCTTACAGCTTACAGGGAGTTTAAAACTGTCAGTAACAAGCTGGACAGTGCCTGTAAAGTTTGGCTTGCTTGGTTCTGTCCTGTAGTGAAGTTAAAGAAAGGAATGAAGAAAGAAAGTGAAACATGTCACTTGACAAATCTCATTTCAGAGGGTTTTTTTCCATTGACTTCTTGCTCCACTCACAGTTCTCAATCCTTCAGACCTGAACGCCCCTGTTTGAAGAGGGTGTCTTTACATTTTGGGGGAGGGGGGAGCTGGCACTGGGCTGGTTTTACACTCTCCAGTGGAGTCTACTCAGATGCAGACTCACTCCCCAAGCTGTCCCATAAAACTTTGCAAATATTTGAAAATTGAAGGTTATTAGGTTGTTCCGTTTCTTCCCCCTCTTGTTCTGAATGAATATCCCTTCAGCTGTCAGATGACTCACAATACGTTTTATGATTTGCTGTAAGGTATGAAATCCGCTTTAATCTAATATGACAACCTGTAATAAAAGCTTTTATTTAACCAGGATGGAATTAACAGATGAAATTCTATCACTTCCAAGATGATGATATTTAACAGATCATAATATAGGCCGCCTGCATCGACTGGAATGCAGAATGAATCTGTAGTTACACAAGTAGCTCTATTTTGTCTCTTTATGAAAGTTTATTCTGTTCAATCCTATGAATAATTTGTGCGCTCCACTGATTAAATATAAAGGGCTGATTTTTCTACATAGATTAAGCCTAAATATAGACTAAAAATGATTTTCAGTGGTTGATCACCATTGGTAATGCAATTTAGTCCAAGAATAAGCTTAATATATGTACAGTAAACCAATGTAGAGCTCTTCATGGGCATGAAATTCTAGCCTTAACTCGCGCTGTACCCACAACTTTGAAACTCGGCCCAAGTAGGCCTGACTGGTACTGCTAAATTTGAAACCTGAACCTAACATGAATCTACTCACACTGCATCTACAGTCAGTGTGTCACTGAAAAGACATGCTTTTTATCTGTTGGAACAACCATAGTAAAGATGTGACTGACCCCTTTGGAATTTTAAGCAGTTTTCTTTTAGCAAGATTTTTTTGATTTCATGAATGGCAACCAGTTAGCAAGTTGTGATGGTGCAAGCAATCAATTGTTCCCCTTTTGAATACCTTTATCTTCTTTCTTTCTTTCTTTCTTTCTTTTTTTCTTTCTTTCTTTCTTGTTTTCTTTCTTTCTTTCTTTCTTTCTTTCTTTCTTTTCTTTCTTTCTTTCTTTCTTTGTCTGTCCTGGGACCTTCCCCTCACCAATTGACCTGCTGGATCCAGCACTACTGAGTGTTCTGGCACCTCACTATTTAAGAATTAAGCCCAGCTTCATGTTGCACGTGAAAAATCGTCCCAAACTTGACCCAAAACTTCACATTTCTCAGGCATGTGTTGGATAGCAGACCTCTAAACCAACCTAAAATGTCTCAAATCTGTATAAATGACCCCTTCAGAAATGGATGATTCTACCAAATTAGTTCAAAGTCAGATTTGAAAACACATTTTGGACTAAAATCTTTTTGTTTTAAGTGACCCTGTACCTTAATTATGTTTCTTTTATTAAAACAAATGGGTCAGCATTCCGTTTTGTCACTAACAAAACGTTCATAACACTACTGAAATTTTACCAAATGTTTTGCTACATGCTGTTTCGGTAATGACAATTTTAACTAATTTTGAGCATAACTCAAAAATGCTAGCCAGTACATGACTAGCAAACACAGCTTTGAACAGCTGAACACAAAAAATATTTTCAATAAAACACAAAAAAGTTTACTTAATTTAAAGTAAGTAGAGACAATTCTAAATGTTACCTTCTGATTTTCAGACTTTGGAACACATGTATTTCAAAACAAAGGGATGTAACTGCTCACTATGGCTACGTTTACACAGCAGGTAAAAGTGGCCCAAATCTGATTTTCTCACCAAATCCGCTTTTTTTTTTTGCTTGGCTGTTCACATTATCTTTTAAATGTGATTTTAAATCAGCTCCTAATTCGACCCGCATGCGCAAAAGAACAATGCTTCACGTGTCGTGCTCGTCGAGAGGTAAACAGTCATGACGGCCAGCGAACGATAGTCGCTCCCGGAGCTTTCAGTTTCGTCTTCCCAGCATCACAGGAGCGATTATAAAGTTCCAGTGGTTGACAGCTGGACTCATCACCCACAATGGGTTCGAGTTCGCCGTAAAAAGGGCGCGTTATTCGGCCGCGGCCACTTTTTTGGTTCGTGTACTTGGATTCTGTAAACTGTTCTCTGACGCTGCAGCCTCGGGCTCCTCCGGCCGCGTTCGGCAAGTTCGTTGTAAACCTCTTCAAACACGGAGCGGTTGCGATGAGTCTCTTTTTTGGTACAGAAACATCAGCCTAAATGTTTATGAGTCTCAGCAGCGCGAAATTATGACGAATGTCGAGTTGGACTGAAAGTCGCATGAATTCCGATCTGGCTGTTCAGACTGACAGTCACATTGCCGCAGATCGGATACGTATCGGATTTCAGTATCACATATGAAAGCGTCTCAAATCGGAAGTGAAAATGTCAGATTCAATGCGTTTTTTGCTGTTTACACAGCCACACTCACATCAGTTTCACATTTGAGGAAAAAGATTGGATTTTGACCACTTTTACCTGCTGTGTAAACGTAGCCAAAGCGTCACACACACACATCATCTAAACCACTTATCCTTCTGGGTTGTGGTGGGGTGCTGGAGCCTATCCCAGCTGTCATTGGGCGGAAGGCAGGATACACCCTGGACAGGTCACCAGTCCATGGCAGGGTAGACAGACAGACATACACATTCACACCTAGGGGCAATTCAGCATGTCCAGTTAGTCTCACTGCATGTCTTTGGACTGTGGGAGGAAACCCACGCAGACACAGGGAGAGCATGCAGACTCCACACAGAAAGGACCCTGGTCGCCCGGCCGGGAATCGAACCCATGCCCTTCTTGCTGTGAGGCTAGCCAAAGCGCCTCAGATCGGAATTGAAATTGTCAGATTCAATGCGTTTTTTGCTGTTCACACTGCCACGCAAATGACACATCTGTGTCACATATGAGGAAAAAGATCGGATTTGGGCCACTTTTACGTGCTGTGTAAACGTAGCCTATGTGGCCATGAGATACACGGATGCAGTCTCACTGTCTGTTTTAAAATACGGTGACTAAAATATGGCTATGACTTTGGACTAATACTTAATGATTTTGTTTTTTATTCAAAAATCAAACTCATGATAAATGTTAATTGTTCAATTTCAATATAAAAAATGCAAAAAAAAGTTTTATTTTCACAAGTTGAAAGTTAGGGGTTACGGTTTGGGAAAGCCACCTCACTATAGAAAGTACCTTATAACTGATGATTTTGTATGTATTTAGCTTATTATTATCTCAGTTAATGCATTGAGTTTAAATAGATCATAACATAATCTTTGTAAATATGTAAGGTCTGAATGCTTCATTGTCTTTTTAAATAATATTCTTACTGTGGACCCGCAGCTGAACTAATTCTGCAGAGCGATCCATATACTAAGCACTCGCAGCATATGAAACAGCGAGTTAAAGAATGTAAGACTGGTACGTGGTGAGGTTTTGTGTCTCTGCAGGATCTTTTCAGCTACCATGTCTGTGTTTCTTCCAGACCATCGCCAACTGAAAGGCAGCTAATCCCCGTGGCCTTTGTATCTGAGAAATGGTTCGAGATCTCCTGCTGAGGGCCTTTTACTACCTGTGGGTCGCTGCAGCTTCCTCAATTTGGACCCTGGTACGCTCCGTTTCTCAGACGTTTCACAATTCCACGCAAATAACAGAGAAATAACAAAAAAACAGGATGTCACTGCAGGCTGCCGTCTGCCTCTGACTCACGCTCCTTTACAAGAGGGAATGTGTCTTTTGTGCAGCATTTGTCAGAAAATTGAGAGTTATGGTACACAGTCTTTTTTATTTACACCATAATCATGAAGACAGCACAAATAGACTATAGCATTCACTGATTTGTTGCTTGTTGGTGGGGTGAACAAGCTGGAAGCATCCACTAATGAGATGATGCTATGAGTTTTCAGTGTATAGTAAACTGTTGCATGAGCCACCCCACTGTCAAATGAATAGCTGTGTGCTTGTAATTTCACGTCCTAATTTGAGCTTTTTTCCTAATTACAGGATCCCATTGGACAAAAACTCCAGTTCACGCGATAAGGAAATAACAATACAAAACAAAACAAAGGCAAAACATGACAAAGACCCAAGCAATTGCAGACAGAAGAGCAGGAACGAACACGCAGCTTTTGTACAAATGGTGGATCTCCCTGGACACGGAGCGAAGATGTTTATTTTTCTAAGCTGATCGCAAAGAGAGCAGTGCTACGGTTGCCACTCCAGATTATTTTCCATAGACTTCTGGTCATTTAGAGATGATACAGTATACTTAGAGTAAATATATTATATACATATATTACTGTATGTGTGGATGTGTTGGGGAAGATCACTGCTGCAGACGTTTTGGAGAGATCTTTTCTGATGGGGGCTGCTTTTGGTGAAAAAGGGGGGTGAACAGACTTTTCAGAACTATGTGCCAATAACGCCAATATGTGCCACTTTATGTACAGATGGGACGCGTCTGAGAGTTGGTTGAAAACTACAGACAACACGACGAGTCATTTCTGTGACGGTATTCTATATCAACCCATTCCTTTTTTTTTTGTATAGAAAGTACAAATATGTATTTGAAATATGTTTTGAAATAGTTGAACAAAAAAAATGTGTTGCAGACATCCAAAAATATTTATAAGGAGCACTATTTGGTTAGATAAAAGAAACGATCCCTGGCCCAACTTTTGAGTTTAAGGTATTGTTATTAGGCCCTGTTTTAAATGGAATAGTCTTCTCTATTTTTGTACAAAGAGGTAACTCACACGTCACTCAGTTCCACTGCACCTGAACTTCTGGGACTGTTAACTTCCCATCTGAGATTCAGCCAGGAGGCAACACTTTTTCTTTTTCTTTTCCAGATTCAGCATTCGTCCACTAAAATAGTGAAATATATTGTTTTTCTCTTTTTTTTTTATTATTATTATTATTATTTTCATTTACCCAAGCCATGCCTCAACTATTTAGTTTTTAAGTCTTTTAATTGCTGCTGGTTGAGAATTGACATTAGCGCTGTTGGTTAGCCACAGTCCTTCGAATCTCCAGTGAAGTTCTTTTTGTACTGATCAATACTGTCAAAGAGCCTCAGTCAAAGCCTCATATTTTTAACAGCAGTACGCAATACATTTTGATTGTTTGTGCATCAAAGTGAAACAAGAAAATGCTTTTTTACAGGAATAAACAATGTACAGCTATTAGTATTCTAGGGCTTAGGATCAAACACTGAATTATTTTTGTGCCAAGTCATTGTTGAGTGCCAAGTTGATGATTATTCTTTTTTTAACAATCCTATGTAACATGCATATTATTTATTCGTATGCTTCGGAAATGAAGATGTACTGAAATATAGGAATATATGTAAACAAACGCAGGAACTTCACCTGGTGTGATACTAAAGTGTTTTTTTGTTTTTTTTTCAATTTTTTTATTTTACTCAGAACTACATGAGTAATCTAAATATAATACAACACTTTTTTTTTTTGCTTTGTTTTTAACTTCTCACCATTGTATTCACCTTAATGTCAGTGAAACAGAAAGGAAGTTGATTGTGCTTCCCCACCAGCAGAAATGCTACAAAAATGTACAATGTTTCAAAAATAATTCATGTGGGCATAAAATACATCATTCTTCAGCAACAAAAACAAAACAAAACAGTGAGATGTCCAGTGAAGTAGTGGACACTTTAAATGCATGAGTGTGTGTGTATGTGTGCACACGTCTCTCTTTTTCCCTCTGTGTGTGTGTGTGTGTGTGTGTGATGTGCATGTCTGAAATCAACACAAACAAATACAAGGCCAAAGAGTTGGTAGATAGTGGAATTTAGGTCATTTTACTGAAAATAAATAAATAAATACATAAAAATAAATAAAACAGAATATATCTAATATACCCAAAACAAATACACATTACATTTGTGATTAGGTAAAAAAACTATTTCAATATCATACAATAAGACAATAGCTTGCAGTCTAAAATGCATTACTGATTCAATTTAAGCAGCCCATATGAACAGGATAGACTTAATTCACAAAGATAGCTTTATATTCTTACAACTCCATTTCAAAATGTGTTTCAGACTGAGAGAATGGTGATCACAAGTCTGGCCATAGTTTTTCCCTTGGGGTGCTGCCTGATAATATATTGTGATCTTGAAGAAATCTAGCAAGATGTTGGTATGTTTGGGAGAAAGTCTACTGTAGAAATTTCAAGTTCAAAGGTCTGGAAACAATAATGCAATTATGCTTTAAGGTGCATATACATTGATCTTTTGTTAGTCATGATATTTTTTTTGATTTATTATATTGATTTGACAGGAACAGCACATAAATATTTTACATAAATGTACAACACGTAATGCATGTAAGCCTTTTAGCTAAGGCTAATTTGAAGCCTCATGCAACACCTTAAACAATAGTTGCCAATTGTCCTGTCTGTGCTTCGCCCACAATGTGTTCACTCTTAGCAACTGTTTTCCAGGGTGGACAAGCTTTATAGAATGTTGGCAGACATTGAAGAGGTGTAGCGTACCACTCAGTTTTTGTTAGAATATGTAAACCATTCAGATTGGACTGCTACAGTGTTCATTTTGAGTTTCAAGTTTAAAACACTGTTCAGAGCTGAACTATGTTGTTGTAGGTGATTGAAACGAGGCAGATTGGAAACAGTTTTTGCCATCATGGATTTGCCTCCGTGCTAATCTTAGCTTTATTACACGATGATAAAAAACAACACACAATCCATCCTTACATACAAAACAAATATATTTTGAAATTAATACATTACATGCATATTTTGAAATTAATACATTGTATATACATACAAATGCTGGTATTTTAACAATAAAACAGTTGTGCCCTACAGATTCTCATTTGGTTAAATATTATGAGACAGATATGAAAAATTTAGCCAACATTCTATAAAATGTGTCCAACTTTGCAACAGCTGCTACAAAAAAGCAGCGCATTTGTGGGAGGAACATGGAAAGGTCAATTTAATTCAATTAAAGACTGTAATACACCACAAAGATGCACTGCAACAATTTGCGTATTTGTGATGTACGTTTCGTCCTGATGATGTTGATGTAGATCTGCATGTAGCTGTGATAGAGGAAACCACTGAAGTATTTGTCAGCCCTGTTTAATAGTAATACACAAACTTTCTTCCACCTATTCTTGAAAGGGAATGTATGTATTTTTGGCTATGAAACCAAGTGAGATGGACAATCAGTACCACAAAGGTCAGACCAAAATCTTCACAGTATATCCAGGCCTTCACATCATGTATCCATATTAGACCCCCAGTATTTACTTTATACAAATGTATATCGCTGTTGTTGGAAAAAAACCTTGTGCTGTTTTTCAGTTTTTGACATAATTTGAAAATGTCTGTTGCCTTTTACAATATATGTAAATTTCATGATGAATGGACCAAAAGAAATGACCCAAAATGACTTGGAAAACAGTCTGGTACCATTGACTTACATTAAAAGTAAAGTAGTTTTTTCCCTTCTCCTGTAAAGTTACCATTTTGGAGATACAAGGTTTTACTCCGACAACAGCGATATGTTACAATACTGCCAATAATAACCCTGATAGCTCTGATTTTTGACATGTTGTGGGGTGGGGTTGGGTGGGGTGTGATGGTAATGCCTGCCTGCTGACTGTTTGTGTCATAGACTGAAATCTCATTAAACTAATTGGTGAGATGTAACTATTTTCTTCAAATGTAACAGACCAAAACTTTCACCCCTAAAACCAGATTCCATGTGAAAAAACTACTGTATTAATGTATTATATAAACATGTACATGCATTTTTTTATGTATCAACTATTATCTATGTTTTATTTGAAGTTATTTTACCTTTCTTTTTGGAAGATAGGATGAACTATGTTAAGAAATGCGTTTTGTTTACATGGTGTATATGACCACAAAGGTTCTATCACAGAACAAAAACAACTGTGCCAACTCCTACACTGCTATCCGTGCTGCCGTTGTGTGAAAGACTCAATACAGATATTTCAGTTGACAGTGCAATACCTGAATACAGACCTACTGAGACGTTACTCTCATTAAGGGTGGCAGAGGTTCTACCAGTAACAAGGGAAAATGTGGCTAATTTGCATAGGCTGACGAAAGTGTGGGGTAATGCCACATGTTTACAGTAGCAATTCATCACTGTCGTAAACCTTGTATCTCCAAAAGGGAAACTTTAAGGTTAATGGTATATTAATGTATTGAGAACTAATTTGGGCCTTTTCTATGGGTCCATTTGTCATGAATCCTTCATAAAATGTAGGCAGCTGGAACTTTCAAATGGTGTAAAGGAAATATTACGAGGTTTTGACAGTGATGAATTGATAATGAGAACAGAACGGTATAATTCAGCTCACTGTCTGAATTGTGGTGAAGAGGTCAGCCTTTTCACTTCTGCGCTGCACTACCGGTCAAATCCTCCACTGTGCATCTAAAGCAATTAATGATTAAAGACGAAAAAAGTTCTACATGAAATGTGCTCTGAAATATTTAACGTGGCCTAAACGTGAGGTGGAAAAGGTTGTTTTCAGCGTGATCCCACAGAAAGTGCTACGACTTACATAACCATCTTCAAAGAACAGACAGTTATGTAGAGATATGGCAGGTTAAACGTCTTAAAAGAACTCGCCCACTGTACATCATTCCAACATGTGATTTTATGATTTAAGACAGCGCCTAAATGGACGAACACACTGCCAAGTAGATCTGCTTTCATACAGTCAGTTTGTATTCTGCTCCTGCTGTAACTGCTAGTGGCTAGCTGCCAACGCCAAGGCTTCCCTCTCACTAGATTGCAGTAGATTGCGGGATGGTTGATGTTTCACCGGTGTGACAGGCTTGGGAAACAGCTTTGCATTGGGGTTTGAATTAAAAAACAAAGGAAAAAAAAGTCCTAACAAGCGCTGTTTGTTTCTTTCTCTGGGAGAAAGTTATGCCCCCAGCACCTTTCCTCAGACAACTCAATAAATGAAGTGTCAATTAAAAAGCACTAAAAGCAGGCGGACAAGCAGCTCGTGTCGCTGTGATCACTGTGGGTAGAGAAGATTGTTCTGGGCCACTTGTCTCAGCCTGGCTCTCTTGAACATGTCTCCAGCTGTCATTCAGCCTAGGCCTTTGTGTTTGTGTGTTTTGTTTGCAGTCTGCCACAAGAGCACTGGCACTTGACCACATCTAATGAAACCTTGGTCTCGTGGGGCCAGACATGGTCTCGTAACAAGAATGTCTGGGGTCAGCCATGAGAAATCTGGGCCAGTACAGGTTGGAAAGTAGATTTATTATGGTAGGAATAAAATTTAAACATAGTGGGTGAAGGTGTGCTTGTCAACTTTGTCCAGTGGACAACAGGCCTGTTATTGGATGCAACGTTTGTTAGCATGGCTAAAACAGCCCCCTGAAAATATTCCAATTATGCATGTTGTTTTGCTTGTGTTTTGACTGTATACTAGAAATTAAAAAAGCACAGACTAAAGGGATTTGGAGGTGGGTTTTAAAGGATGTCTACCCTTGTTTGATAGCATTTTGCCAAATTCAGCAGCAAAAGTTTAAGAAGTTGTCCCCAGACCTGTTACAAGATCACATCTGGCCCTGCAAGATGAATGAAACCTAAGCATTTTCAAACT